CCCCCCCCCCCCCCCCGCAATAGTACAGACAGCAATCACTCACCGGATAGAGTGTCCTGGCCAAGCCGTAGTCACCTAGCTTCAAGACCAGATTTGATGTTAGCTGACAGCTGTGAGCTGCTAGGTCACTACGTACGTGCGTGCGTGCGTGTGTGTGTGTGTGTGTGTGTGTGTGTGTGAGAGAGAGAAACAGATGGACAGACTTCTTCAATTCTATGTAAGGCAGGGATGAATTTATCCTGTATCGCATCGCAGTTTGCGATGCAAAATCAATCTACTGCTACTCAAAAGTCACCATGACTCGCAGAAAACTGCAATACATACAGACTGTCCATGCCTAGCCTGCGCTCAGTGTCAAGTAACATGCATCCAGTACAGTGTAGACAAAGTGTCTGGGGTCCTTGCTGCAAAGTGTATGTGGTGCAGGCACTCAATCTGCGTGCACATGCATGATTCAGTTGGGTTTTTTTTGCAAATGGGCTTTCAGGCATCACTCTCAAGAAGGACAATGTGGTAAACACCCAACCTTCAAAGAAGAATGCTAATCAAAATCAAAGAGTGCTACACAATTGTGATTTTGTATAGCAGAAACTGCTATGCAAAAATATGACAATACATTCATCCCTGTAAGGTATCATCAAACGCCCCCTCTCTGCCCCCCCTCTCCCCCCCCCCTCCCAGACACAGTACAGGCACATCAAATACCCCCCCCCCCCTCCCCCATCCGCTACTCACACAGGGGCGTAGGAAGAGCTTTGGAAGTGGTATGATCAAAGGAGGGAGGGATGGGTGAAGGTGGGTCCAGGGGTCGTGCCTGCGGAAAATTTTGTAAAAAAGACACAAAATCCTGTATTTCTGTTTACTTTTGGCACTTTTGTACTAATTTTTAGTCATGGAATTTTATGGTTCACGCGCAGAAAACTAGTTTCCGCGATCCAAGTGCACCTAACAGCCGAGTCGAGTATGAATTAAATTCAAACAAAAGTCAAAGACCTGATAGGTCCCGATATGGGTCCCGATATTTTTATTACGGTTTTGCACGTCCCAGGCCGACCGCACTTTTCGAAAAGTGGTACGGCCATGGCCGTACCAGTCGTAGCGGGTACTACGCCCCTGTCACATACGCACGAAACGGTTATATATGAACAAACGTGCCCACACACACACACACACACACACGCGCACGCGCGCACACACACACACACATCTCTACCCACTCACTGATATGGCAAGCCGTTGGAGTGCAGGAATGCCACGGCCGACGCCACATCACATGTCAGCTTGACATAGAGACCGCGCTCAACAAAAGACTCCCGATTACCCTGACTGGGTAGCATATACGTCTTCAGAAAGCCCTGCAGACAGCACAATTCAGAACAAGTACGCTATTCACTCTACCTTGAAGATTGTCTTCAGCTGGTTGCAACTTTACAAGTAAGCGTAGAGTACAACCGGCCCTAACCGGACGCCGTTGGTGCAGCGGAAACTGTCCTGACATGACAGAATTCCGCTTGATCCAGGGATGCACGTTCGATCCACAGCACTTTGGGGTGGGTGGGGGCCTGGACATGTCAAAGGCCTTTGACAAGGTCCAGCATCAGACACTTGTCGAAGACCTATTCCAGCTTGGAATCTCCGGCACAGCCCTGAACTGGTTAAGCGACTACCTCTCAAATCGTCAACAACAAGTCGTCATCAGCGGCGATAGTAGCTCATCTTTCACGTGCTCAAGTGGGGTTCCCCAAGGGTCTGTACTGGGACCACTATTGTTTGTCATATATGTCAGGGATGTGGCCAGTGAAGTGGATCAGTTTGCCGTCCAGGTAACCCAATTCGCGGACGACATCATGCTACACGATAGCAGGAAGGACAAGGTAGTGCTGTCACACAACCTGTCTTCAGCCATCACCCATCTCAGCAACTGGCTTGGTGAGCGCAACCTAATCCTGAATAGTCGAAAAACACAAATATTGTTTATTCCTGCCAATCGTCATGACGACAAGACATTGAATGTGCACTGTGCAGCTACACTCCTCCAGCAAGTGACAAGCGCCAAGTACCTGGGCTTGCACATCGATGACGACCTGAAATGGAACACAATGGTTGACCATATAGCCAAGACAGTGTCCTCAAAGATTGCCATTCTCTTCCGCCACAGGCAGTGCCTCCCAATGCCATGCCGCTCAACCTACTTGAGATGTATAATTTTACCCACATTCCAATACGCATGCAACAGCTTTTCCTCTTCCCTTTCCTCTGCACAACGTGATCGTCTTGAGAAACTTCTCAAGCGAGCTGTGCGTGTTGTCTGCTCTGCTCCGTTCCTGTCTCCAACTGCCCCTCTTTTTGAACGCCTCAGCATTCAACCCCTGCAATCAATGTATTGCCGCAAACTCCTCCTGCTAACATTTCGTGTAATTCATAATAACTGTAGTGTGCTTCTTCATGACCTTGTCACACCTCTGTCACACACCCGTCGAACGAGGAGCACAGATGTTCCCCTGCTTCTTTTCCCGAGGATCATATCTGCCGCTGCCACACGCAGCCCTTCATATCAATGTCCCGCTCTCTGGAATAAGTTGCCTGCATCTATACGATCACTGAAGAAACCAGGTCAATTCCGGACCGCTCTCTTACCCCACCTGAAAAATTCACCGACTTACGTTGCTCACTGATCAAATAATTATGCAATCTTTCCTCTGCTAGCTAGCTGCTGTCTTAAATCCTACTCTTTTTTTCTATTTTCTTTTTTTTCTTTTTAATCTTTTCCTTACATTTGTGTGCCTGTTTGTCTTTAGTCGATCTCATGTAATAAGGCAACACTGCCTGTTTGTTATTCGACGTTAAATAAACCAATCCAATCCAATCCATTTGGTACATGTCCGTTCAATACAGGAGTCCGCTTGGCATGTCCCCGCTTTGGCTTTGTTCAAGGAGCAGCAATGCGCAGCAGAAATCACCCTGGTGATACAGTGAAATAACCATGGAAACCGATGAGAGATACAGCAAAATGAGCGACTTTCACTATTGTACTCTTGCTGTGTGGTTATTCTCCCAGAGTTGTACACTTCAGTTTGTGTATTGTGTGTATTGTGTGTATTGTGTGTATTGTGTGTATTGTTTACGCCAGAGAGTAAGAAAGATACCAGTGTTTTAATATTCCTTGGTTCCGGCACACAAAAATGATTTCCCTTTCCTTCTTGCGTTTTCGACCACGATCAAAAAAAGACAGAAAAAGAAGTGCCGAAACCCGGGATTGAACCAGGGACCTTTAGATCTTCAGTCTAACGCTCTCCCAACTGAGCTATTTCGGCTGACACATATTCTGATGGCGTGATGCATTTCAGAAACTTGGGGCTTGGATAGCGTCCAACGTGATCTTACATGTTCTGGAGTTGTGCACGACGAAGATATCCTTGCATTGCGGATTCTAGCAACAGTGCATAGCCCGATTGCGCAACTCAATCAGCAGTGTAGAAAGTGTGATCCGTAATGTTGCCTAATTTTTGACATCAAGGTATGGTAAAAGCTGATGTCATAGATCCTAACGATAGAATTTAACAGCAAAGACGTTTTGATAACTTGAAGGCTTGAAAGAAACAGAGTTTCGGCATTGAATATTTATCGTTAAAGCACAGCGAACAGCCATTTAGACATATACGTTTCAAACACACTGGCATGTAGTGTATGTATGGTATTTGTTGCATCGTGTGGCTGGGATGCTGTCTTTGCACTTGGGAGAAAGAAGAAGCTTACTATTTCGCCCAAAACCATTCTTGAATTTTTTTGTATTTGTATTTATGGATTCTCCACAGGCCTTAGCCTAAATCGAGGGAGTCTCCTAGCAAATTTTCGGTGCACAAGTATCTTCGCCGGTGGTGTCTTTGCCTCGTTGTATTTCTAGCTTGGACAATTTCATCTCCATTAGCGCGATTTCGTACAAACAAGGGACCTAAGTGGAAACTGTTTTCAATCCCTCCCCATGTGACCAGCCCAACACGGTGTTTGACTGCAAGTTCTAGTAGTCCGTGAATCAGGTCAACCCCTGCATCCTTGTCAGTGCCAAAGAAAGAGGGGCCATATAGAACAGGTGGCGTCTGTAATTAGGTTTAACCTGCACCCAAACAAAAATATTGAAGCTCCACTTCCAAAGGAAAGCATCCACAGGAAAAAAAGAAGTGCCGAAACCCGGGATTGAACCAGGGACCTTTAGATCTTCAGTCTAACGCTCTCCCAACTGAGCTATTTCGGCTGACACAATTTAATTTGTCATCATAATTGTTTTGATTTATCTAGGGATTTCCGAAAGGCTTAAAGCCTTTTCATCACTATCAGGTTCGGCTTCATGTTCTCTGTGCTGCACTGATGAGTCGACAAAGGACAAAACAGCATGCTGTCCACAGACTGAGTAGTGGCTCAACTATGTATAATATAGGGCTACATACACAGACAGTGCTACATACACAGACAGTGCTACATACACAGACAGTGCTACATGCACAGACAGTGCTACATACACAGACAGTGCTACATACACAGACAGTGCTACATACACAGACAGTGCTACATACACAGACAGTGCTACATACACAGACAGTGCTACATACACAGACAGTGCTACATACACAGACAGTGCTACATACACAGACAGTGCTACATACACACACAGTGCTACATACACAGACAGTGCTACATACACACACAGTGCTACATACACAGACAGTGCTACATACACAGACAGTGCTACATACACAGACAGTGCTACATACACAGACAGTGCTACATACACAGACAGTGCTACATACACAGACAGTGCTACATACACAGACAGTGCTACATACACAGACAGTGCTACATACACAGACAGTGCTACATACACAGACAGTGCTACATACACAGACAGTGCTACATACACAGACAGTGCTACATACACAGACAGTGCTACATACACAGACAGTGCTACATACACAGACAGTGCTACATACACAGGCAGTTCTGCATGAAAAGTAAGAACGGCCTAGGCTACGACTCTGAACCCGGGCCCCAGTTCTTCTTCAGCACCAGAGAGCACAGTGCAGTACTGTCAGGCGCCGAAGAACGACCAGGCTAGAATTTCATCAGGCACAGCATACGAATGTGTACACTGTGACCCAACTGCGCATAGAATGTAGTAGTACGTGGGAATAAGAGCGTCCTAGGCTAGGACTCTGAACCCGGCACCAGGTCTTCTTCATCACCAGACAGCACAGCAACGGGTACAACAAACTGTTCTAACCTGTCCACATGGCTCGCAGAGGGCGATGTGTAACTGGTCCTGGTAGCACATGGCAAGTAGCCGCAAGACGTTCTCATGCCGCAGCCTACGAACAGTCAGGCAAGCACCCACACAAAGAGACAAACGTGCATCAATGTTCGATATGTACAGAATGTAGAGCAAAAGTTGGCTGTGCAACTGGAGTGAAAAAGAAAGAGAAAAAAATAAATGCCGAAACCCGGGATTGAACCAGGGACCTTTAGATCTTCAGTCTAACGCTCTCCCAACTGAGCTATTTCGGCTGCTGCACCAGATTGAGGGTTTCGATTATTTCCACAAACTGCCGCTGAGTAACCTGGGTATCTGTGGCATGATGATGACAGGCATGACTGCACAGTATCAAGTGACACATCGTACCAAGAGTACATAACCCCCCAGAGTGTGCAACGCCTGATCCAGCTCTGCATAGGGTCTTGGTCGAGCGGAATCGGATCTTTGCATCATAATACCGTACACATCCGAGGGGAACCCGGGCAGTCGCGGGTACTCTCGGATCAAAAACAATGGTGCCCTGCCTCGAGACCGGCCTTGCGCTGGTGTGGAGTGTACGCATGACATCAGAAGATCCGATTCCGCTCGACCAAGACCCTATGCAGAGCTGGATCGGCGTTGCACACTCCGGGGGGTTATGTACTCTTGATCGTACACACTCGTATTTTTCAGTAGCTTTGGGCGCCGGAGAACGGGGGACAACCGAGGATCCAGAGATCTCTACAAGGAGGTTCCCTGAGTGCAGCCAAATTTGAATAGCTGATACAACCATGTACATGTATATACATACGGTTTCCAGTAGCACATTTGCGAAGTTGAGGGGTTTCTCCAGACCCTCCCCCCCCCCCCCCCCCCCCCCCTGGATCTGCTCCTGGGGGAAGGCTGCACCTCAGGCTGGTGATCATGGTGTTTTCAAGATTCTGTCCTTATTCTGTACTTGTGCGTGGAGCTCTACATGGAAAAACACACACACACTGATGTTCCAAAGCCTTTGCTTCCAAGCTGGCACCTGCTAAAAAATCATGCGACTTTCTGGCCTGGCTGCTCTTTGCCAGCCCGATGTTACGGAATGCACTCTTTTTTCTCAGCTGAAAAAAAGAAAAAAAGAAGTGCCGAAACCCGGGATTGAACCAGGGACCTTTAGATCTTCAGTCTAACGCTCTCCCAACTGAGCTATTTCGGCTGATACAGTATGGAGAGGGGACTTCCCCAGAATGTAGTTGTAAAGAGTGGATAGAAGGGAGGCGCAATGAATTCATAGTGAGATTGACTGACTGGCACAGGTACATACCTCATTGGGACTAGCTGCTCTGCGAATGCCAGCTCATCTTCTTTATTATCCCTTGTCTTGATCTCCTGCAGAACACACAGAAGGGAGTAGCACGAGACACGACGGACTTATTGTATTTTCCGAAGCATAAGCTGCACTGAAGTAAGCCGCACCGACATGTGTTTGTCACAAAATGCAGAAATCTACCCTCAATTTGACCATTGTAGTGTAAGTCGCACCGGTTGTTTTGGGGTGACTTACTGGTGCTAAAAGTTATTTTGTTTTAGTGCCTTTCCAGTGTTCTATTAGCACCCCTGGTTCTCAATCTATTGGTCTTCCTCTCCTTTGACTTAAAAATTCTCAGATTTTGAGTTTTTTGCACTCCATACATAATTTTATTTTCATTATTTTATTGGTTTGGTGAGACTCCCATGATAGGTATCCATTTACCTCTGGAGAATCCGTAAAATAAACAAACAAACAAAAGTGCGGCTTATACTCTTGAAAGTTGGTTCCGCCATACCGCTGCAATGTGTGCTTATCCATGCCACAGAGATTTATGGCAGTTTCTCCTCCCAAATCGGCCACATTCCTATGGCTAATGCGACCAGTATATACTTAAGAGGCTTGAGATGGCAAGACTGCTCTGCTTTACAAGTGCTCTGCTTTTCTACTATCGTACGTCGCGAGAGGAGACAAAACTGGCTGCAACACAACACCAAATTCTAAACAACACCACCACATTGTCACAAGAACCAGCATAGCACTTATCAGGATCCAGTTTCCCATCTTCTTTGACCTGAACAGGTGCTGATGGTCCACAATGTCTCATCAATTCCTTGCATGAGCTGCTAGTGCATGCGTTTCGAAGTTACAAGAACTTGAAAGTTGAAACAGCTCCGGGAGAAGGAGAACAAGCACTTCAAGAGCAGGAGCTGGAAACGAAAATACAGATCAAGAACTGGTCTGCCATGCTGCAGTCTAGTAGAGTGCTGGATCTATCACTGATGATAGCGGCTAGTGCATGCAGACCTCGCAGGTTGCAGCTATGTAGTTTGTACAGGATTTCCAAGAATCTACCCGCATGCTGGGGATGCACACACTGGTTCAGCAAACTGGTGTCTAGTGCGAAAGCAATCATCATGGAAGCTAACACTTCTGTACGTTTACTCCTTCTGGTTTTTCCTTGACTCCATACTAGACACATCACACACACACACACACACACACACACACACACACACACACACACACACACACACACACACACACACACGCACGCACACACACACACACACACACACACACACACACACACACACTGTACTGTACTTGTTGCTCACTGCCAAAACTGGTCACGTGAGTCCCCCCGGGAGAGGGGAGAGAGACTCAAAAGGAATCTTGGAAAGATGACTCAATTGGTTATTGAACCGCCCAACGGCCGACACCCCTGAAATCCCCAAAACACTGGATGGACTTGAAAATGATCCCACTTATGGGCTCACCACACCTCAGTAAGTGGGTGAGGACAAGGTGCAGAAAAAGGATTGACGGTATCAGGGTATCCGTCCCGGGATCCAACTGCAGTTACCCCTGCCCCCAGTGAAGGTAATACTTGCTACTAGTGTGAGTGGCTAAATCAGAGTGGATCTGATAAAAGCTTCACTAGCACCATTGATTACACAAGAGTTAATCTAGCCAGAAGCAGTCCATGGTTAACAGGTATGTATACTTCAAATAGAAAGTATATGAACCCTGGAACCAACAAAGGTGGCAGGTACAACATTACACCTTCAAGCGGCCGAGCCTGTTGGCAACAGACCCAACACACACACACACACACACACGCACACACACACACACACACACACACACACACACACACACACACACACACACACACACACCCATACCCACACGATACCCACACATGGTCGATCACAACCACCCATGCCATAGTTCTAGTGACCCATGCACAGGGTTGAAATCACACCAGAAATATCCGTCACCCACATGTACATACCATTGCAATCACTGGACTCCTCTTCAAACCAGGTACTAGTCGTTTAGCCATGGCATGCTGCACACTCCATAGTGCTGTCTGACCCAGCATCTCTCCACGATACTCGATCTGACTGAAAGGATAGTTCTCCACAACACCATCACTCGGGCTTGTAATGGCTGAAAAATGATAGTGAGTGTGATACATGCATGCACACATGCAGGCACATGCACACACATGCATGCATGCACGAACACACATACACGCATATACGCACACACACAACAACATGCACAAACACACCCACACACACACACACACACCTTGACGTTGATCTTGCCCATTGCGTACGCAATGATAGCGAATGTCGGAACACACACACACACACACACACTTCGAAACTCACGCCTCCATTGAAACTGCACAGGCTGGTTGCATGCGACCCTTCACACACATCACTTCCAAAATTGCAGGCAGGGAGCCCCAGTGCATCAACTATTCATCAGTGGAAGCAGTTGACAAGGAGAAATGATGCGTCAAGAGTCAAGACGGTTTCTCTCCCAACGTTACATAATGGTGACAATGAATGCCAGTATCGCCATTTTCTGTGTACCTTGTTCAACGGAGCCTTCTGGTGATACTCGCTGGGTATCCTCCACAGCATGCTCTGCGTTGGAAAAGCCGGCAGTCGTCTCCTCGTCATATCCACCGGCATCTGCACTGCCTATGATTACGCGAGTCTCGAAGCCATCCGACACCAGCTCGTCGTCAAGGAGATGACCCTTGTCACTGGCACGGACGGGTGAGTGCACTCTGGGGAAGGTTGACATCGATATAGACGTGTCCTACACAGAACAAGACATGAAAACCGTCACTTGCAGCGGAATTTATGCTATGGCATGATCATTTGAAGTGGTTTGTACGAGTTGAAATCAGGAGCCTCAGTTTGCCACTCGATACAAATCACACACAAGATATTTATAATACTACTAAGCACAAAACATGGGAGCATCTATACATGGTACCGGTAACAGGAGTACAGCATTGGGCTGATGAGGCCTAGACGGCCGAAACAGCTAGCTGTCTACAGCATTGGGTAACAATCGTACCTATAAAACAAGAGTACATATATGACACATTGAGTGTATAACTGACACACTGATTAACTACACGGGTTAACTGTACTGGTAATCTGTTCTCACTCTCACCTGCAGATCTTCATTGATACGGGATGTAGCGTGTTTGCCGTGAACGTCCTGAACGGCAGCGAGTAACACAACGAACAGAAACACAACACACCTGTAGGCTGTACAGTTGAACCTACCCTAACCGGACGCCCTTGGTGCAGCGGAAACTGTCCTCCTGATCCATGGATAAACGTTCGATCCCCAACACTTTGATGCATGAGAATTTGTCTGGTGAATACAGGATTCTGCTTGGTAGAGGGTCCCGCAAAAACAGGTTTACTGTACAAATAATTCTCCTAAGAACTCAGCCGGTGAGGCAAGGAAAACACTGGTAACATGGAAATTGTGGGCACAAGTTATGCGATCGAGCGTCTGACCGTTCAAAATCCGGTTTAGTTGGTGGACTCGATCGCATAACTTGTGCCCACAATTTCCATGTTACAAATTCTCCTAAGCCTAGACATCATGAGTTACCACTAACCGTCAGTCCTAATCGTCTCGTTCTGCGGCGACGACATCGTACAAGCAGCACAGCGAGGAGAATAACGAGAGCAAGTGACAGCAACATCACCAGAACAAACACCAGGATGCCTGGCATCTTCCAAGGCGGCACCCAGTAGCTCAGCGAATCCACGTCGCCAGCCGAAGCTCCATTGCTAGTTGCAACGGGTGCATTCTGGGATGTGACAATGGGCCTAGGTGTTGGGTCTGTGCAGATTGGGGTGCGGACAGATGCTGAGCACACTACGCCACACGTACTGCTGTTTGTGGCTGACCAACATCCGCTAGGGCAAGTCGAACTGCATCGTTGCGAACCTGAAGAGCCGTGAACACATGACAAAAGGGTAATGATCACACATACACACACACACACACACACACACACACACACACACACACACACACACACACGGGTACGCACAAGTACGCACACATAAGGACGCACACGCTCCCATGCTCAGACACATAAACATAAGCATACACACACACATACACACACACACACCGCCAGCGATGCTAACTCTGAGGTGTAGTCCGTAGTAGAGACCACTCAGCATTTCCCTCCTACTTCGAATATTTGATTCAGCGGTGCTCCCCACGTACATGAAGTGTGTGGGTACAGTGAGGCACTGAGGGCTGCATCCCACTGTGTAGTTTCACAGGAAACGTGAACGTTGAAGTCTGGGGAATATCGAGTCCAAACTTTGACCAGGTTGATCTGCCAGAATGGATATTCACATACCGCAGATCGCAAGAGGACCGTTATCTGACCTATACGTTCACACTCAACTACACATACTTTCATCGTAGCTTAGGAACAGTGGCACAATCCATGATCAACTGCAGCAAGAAGTCAGCAATGTCCGTACCCATGGTGAAGTAAAATAGAGATAACATATCGTACTGTAGATCTCCTGAGGATCATTATAATTATACCTAACACAGTACAGTACAGTACAGTACAGACTGCCAGAGGACTATTATACCTAACACAGTGCAGACTACCAGAGGACTATTCTCTCAGCTATCCGATCACATACCACAGAGTGCCAGAGGACCGTTGTCACGAACCAGCAGTGACGGAATGCCCTCTTGCCACGTGAACTGCCCACACGGGACAGTGGCGGGATCCAGTAGCGCCCTCCAGTCCACACCGGCCACTACACTCGCACTCGACGGGTAGACAAACGAGTGCGTAGCAAGCGACAGGGCGCTCCACTGCGGATAGCCCGGATAGCATAGCGCATGATTGCCCTCGATGCGAACAGTACCTCCTGTGTAGAGGGAGAGGAGAGAAAGGCATTTCGGGACATCAGAGGTAAGCTTTGATCACTGGGCCATTGCACTCACCACGTACATACAGTAAAAACAAGAGTACATGAAAACCAGAGTGTGCAGCTCGGATGGGTTGCTGTCACGGCGGAATTCCGTGATTACATCACTTTAGTGGTGTAGTGCGTACAAGCAGGATTCAAGCAAGTCTCTTGCTGCACAACTGCAGCTCAGTTGTACGCACTACGCCATTTCCTGCCTCAGATCTGCGCCAAATATGATGTAATCAACGAATTCTGCCGTGACAGACACCCATAGTAGAAAAGGCCCCAAGCTGCGCACTCTGGTTTTCATGTACTCTTGGTAAAACCTATCAAGGCGACCACTCTGATAAGGCGATCACCTGTCCCAGAAGACCACTGTAACCAGGACCAAGGGATGCTATTTCCAGTCAAACGACCCTGGATAAGGAGACCACCTGGCAACAGAGACCACATTTTGCAGGTCCCTTGAGCGGTCGTCTTAGACAGGTTTCACTGTACTTGAAAAGCTCTAGCTTGGTGACAACCGGGAGTGGGCCTCGTAAACTATTGATTGGCATAAAACGTGTCTATTTGCATGCAGTGCGTATGTATGTTCCTACTGTAGCGGACATTGAAATCCGTTCCGAAGTCAAGCGGCCACGGGGCGCTGTCCTTGCAGCCACGGGGGGGGGGGGGGGGTGCGCTGTCCTTGCAGCCACGGGCACTGTACTGCTGGTCCATTTGTTTACAGTATGTACGTGAACTACGGTGCATGGAAACGCTGGAAACGCTAACAGCAGTACGTACCGGTGCCGGCCCCGTCATCCCGGCATCGGATTTCAATGTCCACGACGGTGGTTACGGGCAGTGTCTGGTCCCAACGTTCCCGGATAAGGGGAGTGCTACTGTACAAGAGAACAAAATGGATGTGACCCTCACTAATCCAGGAAGGCATCGCACAGATGGTGGTGGGCCAGGGGGAGGAGGGGGGGGGGGGGGGGGGGGGATTGGGGGGAGGGGATACAAACGTGCTTATTGACTATCAGTTGTCTTACCCTTTATTGTTCGAAGTGTCCTCAATCCAGACAGGCTGCCAAGCTTAGGATTGTACGTGATTTGTAGTGTTTGTCCTGAGAGCAGCTTGTCATTGCCACCCAGCTCACGGAGAGAAGGCAACTCCAGCAACTCCAGTTCAGCATTTCTGGTTATCTTCAGCTGGCCTCCAATGGTCTGCAGGTGCGAGAAACCGGTCGCCTCAAGCAGATTTCTGTTTTCGTACAGTTCCACATCACCAGAAACGCTCAGCAGATGGGAGAAAGCAGAAATTTTGCCCAATTGTGCATTGCCGATAATGGCAATGCCTGCGAGTGAGAGGACGTTCGCAAATGGAGTGCTCAGCTCTGTTATATCGGCGATACACTGAATGAAAAGCTTCGGTACAAATGTAGTCAGCAAGGGTTCCAGACTACTCCAATCAAATGTAGCAAAGTTTGTAGCAGGAGACGGGAGGCAACCGGGCGAACCGACAACCAGCTCGCTCAGGAAACGATAGGGAAGCTTGCTCGAATCGTTCGCAGCGGAAAGTGCCTCTGTGTGTTGGAGCAGACACGATTTCACTACTGCAGCCACCGCTGTAGCGTTTCGCAGGATCAACCTCCGAGAGGTGTCAATTTCACACTCGCTGTCAGCTTTGATACTAGCGCTAGAAACAGCAAGAAACACTCCGAGGTGAAGAAGACGGAGGCCTGCGATGGCTAGGTTGGAGTGCCGTGTTGCAAAAACACCAACAGGCTTCATGTTGGTGGGTTCAAGATGAGAGAACTCGGTCTGCGGTCTGGTGTTCAGGTACGGACGCTATGGCAATTTCTGGATTCCGTTCATTGTCATAAATCTGCTCACAAAAACAAAATAATAATGCTATTTTAATAAATTGTTGAAGTACCACATGTATAAGCGGTTACTAACAAACTCTCGCTATCTATGCACACCACCTCTGTGCTTGTCTTCCAAGATATCGCCCAGGATCAGTTGATTCAAAGACACCTTCAACAAGTTCAAGGCTACGTTCTAGATGTTATCATGGCTGTCATCTCTTTTACTCATCATTTCGGTTGAACGACGTGTCGACGCGCAGATATCTACGCTCGATCTACAACTTCCACAACAGCCAGACGAAGGCTATTTTTGAAGTGAAGGTAAGAATACCGTGATTTGGTGACGGGCTAGGAGTCTGACGGTCCGCTCGACGTCGACTTGCGAGGTGCGAAGAATTCGAATATCCGACCTGTCACTCCGACAGAGCTTGAGTAGCTGAGTAGCCTAGCTGAACTGGCTGAAGCCTGTGAAGGTAGCGGAGCCCTGGGCCAGGGCCAGGACTGCAGGAGTCAGGGCTCAGGATTCAGGAATGGTGCTGTGTGGTCGCGCACTACATGACGCACAAAGCCAACGAACTGTCCCAAGGACAGCTCAGCTAGCTGTCAAGTTTGCAGCCCGACAAAGCAAGAAGAATATAATAATTATAACCGTGAATATGCGTTCGGACTGGCAGTAGATCAGGAATCGGTGTTTAGCAGCTGCTACCCTAGTACCCTGGCATCCTGTGGCATGACATGCACTACAGTCTACAGACAGTCAGTCTACAGACTCAGTACAACTGACTGAACTGTACTGAGTCTGTACTCTGTAGACTGTACATCTAACAGTCAACTTCGCTTATAACGACACTCGGCGGGGCATCAGAAAAGTGTCCTTATTCGCGGAGTGTCGTTATACCCGAAGTCTCATTATAATTATTATGTATTACAGTTGGATGGGACTTTGCTCTGGGCATGGAAATTCTGTCGTTATTCGCGAATTGTCGTTATATCCGCAGTCGTTATTAGCGAAGTTGACTGTAGTGCAACACTACACCAAGTACAAGCTAGGTAGGTTTGCATACGTCCACATTGAGTTCCGTATTCATACTGTCACCATGGTCACTGAAAAGTGAACACTCACACCGCACCTCGACAGTCGACACACTGCACACACGACGTACTGCGACACCCAGACAGAGAGAGAGAGAGAGAGAGGGCCAGAGAGTAGGAGAAACACTTTTCATTCAGTGGATTTTCAGACTCGAAAAAAATACTTTTTAATTAGTTAGAAACACTTTCGTCCATGCCAAGGAGTATGGTGACACGCCAGTCACAATTATTACTAAACAGATTTACCATCAACAGGGCGTATCACAGAAAAAGAATAATATCAAAGAATGAATAAATTCAAGCAGTACAGATGTGCATGCAAGAGCGAAATTACGTACATGTATGAGCACAGAACCAAGACACTGTGAGTAACAAACAACAAACGCCCCACCGTATCCTTCGTGTACCTCTTGCCCATGATCACGGTGGCCAAGCTACAAATGCAGACGCTTGTAACAGTGTTCATATTAATTTTATCCGTTTTCATACATTTCCCAAACCGTCCGCAGATCCATGCAATGCAGCGGGATTTGCGCAAATAAATTGTTAAAAGTGCATGATAGAGTTATAGTGGTATGTTTCCGGCCCATGCTACAAAACGTCCATGCAACAAACTACTAGCATTAAAACGTATCAAAAATTATTTGTAAATAATAAAACTTGTTCAATAATAGCTGCTGTCTGCTGATCACTGAAATGCGTGAAATTTGAAGTTACAGCAGCACAGCCTTTCGGCTCTGTTGTGTTTGTAGTTGTCCAGTGCACATCACTGCACAACGCGCACGCAGCGTGTAAATCGTGTAACCCGTCCGCAATTCAGCACAGTCCAGCTACGATCATCGCGATGCGATGGCTTCACGTAGTTTCCTGAGTAGCCCCGGCTAGAGGTGAACTACTCAAGGAAGTCTGACTATGAGATAGAGTGTGGAGTCGATAGTGCCTGGGGAGTAGATGCTAAACGAAAAATCTTTCCTGGCTCTGCACGAATGCTACTCCCGACAATGGATATGAAACGGCTGCTGGCTAATGTTACTCAACAGGTGGCATCCAGTAGCTGCTTCTGATACATTTTACTTGAAGTACAGTTCAACCGCTTGCTACTTCCAGAACAATAGCATTTCCGCCGCTGCCGTGCACTCTGCCATTGCTGCTGCTGCTGCTGTTGCCATCGCTGATGTTTATGGAGTCACCTGCTGCCTTTGCTGCTGCCATCACTGGTGGTGGTGGTGGTGGTGGCAGTGCATGTGATAAATGTGCAAAACGTGGGGATGGTGACAGCTTGCATACTTTGCATTGCACTGCAGCCGGCAATGCGTGGCTTGCTGATCACCAGGTAGTAACTTACACTGGAACGAGGAAGTTGGATTGAGGATTATAATCACAGGGGTATTCAGCTTTTCTTGCGCTGGGCTTCACCACTGGCATGTGCCCCAAGGTGCTGAGTGAGAAAATCCGTGGCAATCAGGCCGGAGGGATTGCGCGGGACACTCAGCTGGCCTAGACGTGTACCGCCGCTAGCATGCTGAGATGGAGAGTTGTGTCGCTGCTGCCTCTGCTGCGGCTGCTGCTGCTGCTGTTGTTGTTGTTGTTGTATCTGCTCCTGCTTTTGCTGCTGCTGTCGCTGCTGTTGTTGTAACGATGCCGGTGATGGAGAGCCAATAGAGCTTGCAGAGATAGGGGATGAAAACACCCAAGGAGAAGGACTTTGACTAGCGCTGCTGCTATTGCTTTGCAGTCCAAGATCAGACGAGGATGACATCGGACTCAGGATACTGCTTCCCCCACCAAGTCCATACATCTGATGAGCATAGGCTAATGTTTCAATAGATGCCGGTACAGCTTCACCAGCAGCGGACTTCGCGACATCGGCATCACTGGTAAAGGACTGCATTTGAGGAGAGCGCTGATCAAAGTTTGAGTGCACCGCTGGCAGGGAAGCAAGGCGCCGCCGATCTGTCGGAGGATGATGACCACGCTGCCAGCTGCTGTCTGGGGACGCATCCTGAGCAGATTGGCGCTGCCCGCTTCTGCTTGCTCCAGCTAACTTTACTTGTGTGTACTGAGAGGCAGACAGAGCATGCTGCTGAAGAGGGTGTTGCTGCGGAGCATGCTGCTGCAGAGCATGCTGCTTCAGAGGATGTTGCTGCAGAGGATGTTGCTGGGAGTGGTATGGGACAGGTTGATCGGATTTAGGCTGCTGATCATTGTGTAGATGCTGCCACCGTGGCTGTTGCTGCTGCTGCAGGTGGTGCTCTTGCTGCTGGTGATCTCGCTGCTGCTGCTGCTGGTGTTGCTGCTGCTGGTGATCTCGCTGCTGGTGATCTCCCTGCTGTTGCTGCTGCTGGCGTTGCTCGTGCTGCTGCTGCTGCTGGTGGTGGTGCTGCTGCTGTTGCTGGTGCTGCTGGTGTTGCTGCTGCTGGTGACGTCGCTGCTGCTGCTGTTGCTGCTTCTGCTGCTGGTGCTGCTGGAGCTCTTGCTGCTGGTGGTGGTGGTGTTGGTGGTGGTAGTGTTGTTGCTGATGCAGGTGTTTCTGATGATCGGAGAGAGCATAGGCAGACTGCGGTAACGCAGGGGTTGCCCCTCTGTCACTCTTCAAGTACTGCTGCCGAGGATCCTCAACGACAGAGTGCAGGGGATTTCCCCGGTCTGCGCTGGTGCGCTGAGATTGCGCAGTCTCTGCTGAGGCCTGTGGATAGTGGTGCATTGGTCCTGCTGGTGGCAAGGACATGAATGCATGCCTATGCACCGTGGCACTCTCACCATCACTGTGCGAAGACGTGCTCCGAGTGCTCGCAACACCACCGGAAAAGTTCTGTCCAAGCTGAAATGACAGTCCTCCGCCACCATACATGGTCTGTGTTGGTGAAAGTGGCTGCAGACCCTGGGCCAAGAAGCTAGTGCTGGGTGCATGCGATGGTATATTAGAAGTGCTGTCTGTGTCGACGACCGGATTCGATGGCAGCGCCCTGGCGGCTGCGACAGGAGTATCATCGGCATGCTGACCAACGGAATCTTCAGGTAAGGAGTTGATCTGTGGTGCGCTGTTCGTGGATCGCATCGAGCCAATACACTCGGAATCCAGGAGATGCTCGCTGCTTGTGATCGGACCGGTCACTGACGACTTAGACAGCTGACTCTGCAGCGCAACATCACTGTCTCGCAAGTCGGGAAACGATCCAGTGCGCAACCTCGGTTTTCCTTCGACAGTGTAATCCTCCGACTTCTCAGACAAGTCGCTCAGTTTTCTCGCCGACGGTGCATCTGCGTCAATTTCGTTTGAGAATCGTTGACAAGTGCTGGTGCTGACACCAATGACAGCATTCGATGACAATGGTAATGCACCTGGCCCGACAAGACCGAAATCAGACTTCATCGGCGATGGCAGTTCTCGCGTGGGCTCAGCCGGTTTATTGGCGCGTGATGCTGGCGCGGATTTGCTCGGTGCAAGCGGATCCTGGCCCGTAGCGGCATCTCCTCCCACTACGCCTAGGTCAAGCGAAGCAGCAGCTGCAGCGGCCGGCCGTTGCTGCGCAAACGGATCACCGCCAGAGACCGCACTCCCTCCTCCCACTACGCCTAGGTCAAGCGAAGCAGCAGCTGCAGCGGCCGGCCGTTGCTGCGCAAACGGATCACCGCCAGAGACCGCACTCCCTCCTCCCACTACGCCTAGGTCAAGCGAAGCAGCAGCTGCAGCGGCCGGCCGTTGCTGCGCAAACGGATCACCGCCAGAGACCGCACTCCCTCCGCCGACAACGCCAATGTCCAAACTCTGGTCCAGCTTGGCAAGTCCCACGCGCGGAGTTTTCAATGAAGCAGCCCGCGTTGCCCCCGGCGACTGGGAGATGAGCGGCAGAGATGTGCCGGGAACCGATTCTGCTAGTGCACCAGCCCCAAGACCAACTGGTAGTGCAACTGCTGGGACTGAAGACACACCCGGCAGGATTAGTGATTGTGTCAAAGCACTTGCATTACCGGTTGCCTCGACAGGCATGTCAGCAAGGATAGATGATTGTGGCGCAGATACTTCTGGGACATCGCTGCTGAATGTGGGTGTAGCGGTGGTGGACAGAGATATGCTCAGGGGTTGAGATTGCGGCTTCTGCTCTGAGCTTCCCGCCTGTAAGTCAAAACACCAGACACACACACACACACAGACACACACACACACACACACACACACACACACACACACACACACACACCACCACCACCACCACCACCACCACCACAACCACCATCACCATCACCACAACCAAACCGAGCACCGGCAACAGCAGCAGCAGAAGCAGCCGCAGAGGAGAATACACACGTTGGCATGTTTTCAATATTCTTGAAAGACCAATCAATGTGAACATAAGGACATATGGGTAGGAGTTATGAGAAACTGCTCACTACTGCAACAAGATGATAAGTAGTCAGAAAGTGAGATAAGCAAGGAAAACAAACTGACAGACTACTGAGATATTCAACAACCTGACACTTAGCTCTAGTGCATGCCCGCGAATATGCTCACACTCGCACACTGGCTGGAACGACCTGGATGCAGCAAACCAGACTTCATTTCACGAACGACGCATGGTCACCCTCGCCACTTACCTCAACAGGCAGCAGGCCTGCAGTTTTGAGTATGGCCTCGTATTTGGTTTTCACTTGAAGCTCCTCACTCCACTTGGCCTTGGCCCATTTGAAACCTGCAGCCATTTCAGTACCCCTGGCTTGAAGTTCTGCCATCTGTAAGGAAACAGAGAACGCATGAAGAGATTGATTGCAAAGCACTGTACATGTAAATCGATTTTATCACTTTTCAGATCACAATTCATTCCATGCATGATTTGTATCCAAACCTATATTTGGCCTGAAGGTGCCCCTTGAGCCTTTGATTGCGCAGATTACAAAATCTCAATTTCTAAAATTTGGCGCTTGCCGCCATCTCTATTTCTTAAATTTGGCGCTTGCCGCGTTTTGCACTTAAACTCTTCACATTGCTACAGGTCTGGCCTGAGAAATTCGACCCCATGAGAAAAGTAACATAGTGTTTGAGCACAATCAACAGTGTGTGTGTGTACGACGGTCCTAGGGTCAAGTGGCGCTGTGTTGTTCTACATTTTAATAATCTTTATTAAAGGATCTCCCAGAGGCAATGGCCTGTCGAGGGGATCTCCCAGAGGCAATGGCCTGTCGAGGGGATCTCCCAGAGGCAATGGCCTGTCGAGGAGATCTCCCAGAGGCAATGGCCTGTGGAGGGGATCTCCTGATGCAAATCATGCAATAGAAATAAACAGTGAGGAAACTACACGTGTTACAGTATATGCTACATAATAATCAATAAACACAGGGCTGGGTTGTTCAAAATAAAACAATTAATTTAAATGTCCAGGGATATACCACTACAGTCAAATTTAAAACTTTTCACGTGCAAGCGATATTGCTGCTGAAATTTAGAAAGAGGTTGGATTTCTCTGGCAATGGCTTCCCATGCATGAGCAGCACTGGGTGGGGAACACGATGCTGCTTGCTCTCAGTGAGAGCATCAGTGCAAGTCATGGCCATGGCTTGGCACACGACATCCTGACTTGTGACTGCCTCACAATGAGATTAGTAATGGCCTGTTTTTGTGGCAGTATGGAGAGATACAGAGATAGAAAGAGAGGGAAGGAGAGAGAGAGAGAGAGAGAGAGAGAGAGAGAGAGAGAGAGAGAGAGAGAGAGAGAGAGAGAGAGAGAGAGAGAGAGAGAGAGAGAGAGAGAGAGAGGCGGAGAAGGGCAAAGAGAAGCAAAGAGAGATGGAGGGAGGAGGGAGAGTGAATAAAGAGAGAGAGAATGAGAGAAAGGGAGAGGCTACAGGAGAAAGATCATGAGCGATATCCAAATGCTTACTTGTTCAGACTGCTGCTTGGCCTTTTCCTGATATTTCCGTGCACTTTGCTCTGCCACATCTTGCTTAGCCAACGCCTGTAGAACAGGGTGTCAAACACAGAAAATCCTAAAATATCCATGGCTACTTCTCGCTTCGCGCATCATAATTATAGTCGATTTGGAAGAAAAGACAAAGGAAAAAGGGATAAGAGGGAACAACATGGAAGGAAGGAAGGAAAAGACCAAGATAGAACGAACAGGTCAGCAAAGGTTGTGCGGCCATACCCAAAACTTTGGTGGAAATAGAAGAACATTCACGGCAAAGAGACCATGGAATACGACTGTTGCTGCCGGGCAGTGCGCAAGTGGCTGTGCTGGATTGTATTATTCCTTTGAAAAGTCTATCACTAAGCATGTTTTAACTCGGATGGTGAGCCAATTAAATTATGGTGAAAAGGAGAAGGACAAAATGTTACGCGTTATGATTAACTGTCCACCAACGTAACCAACCAACGTAACCAACATAACATTTTGTCCTTCTGCTTTCTCACTATGCATGTCTTGCTTACATTGTTGAGCCTTGAGTTGGCCGCTTCCAGATCTAATAGTTGCTGCTGGCTTTCAAGGGCAAACTGTCCGGGTGCAAAGGAAACAAATAGAGAGAGAGAGACAGACAGAGAGAAACATGACAAACTCTCCATTATATGCACTGAAACAGGCTGTGTGTCTCCAAACGGAGAAAGATACAAAGCAATGAAGTCAAATCCATGGCCATTAAAAAACTTTCGTAGGTAACGAGCCGTTGGAGATTCGGCATGCCAGTTACGACTAGTGCACAGCATGTGATGCTGGAGCACATAAGCAGTGTTTACATGCAATGTACGGTGAAAAACACTAAAACAACGGTAACCCCCCGACTGTGAAGGTGGCTGCTGCTACCTACCCATGTGACGGACTGTGCTAGGGCTGCTACAGAAACATATTTAGTTTAGACCTGAGCTCGCACATGCATGCACGCACGCAAGCACACACACATACACACTAGCACACACACACATATATTATGCTAACCCATACACGCACACAAATACACACGCGCACACACATATACAAACAGATGTTTGGTTGGAGGAAAGCAAATCAGCACACGAAGCACAGAATCCATCATATTTTCGACTAGGCCTTTTGTACCATTAATCTTCAAGCCGAATACAATGGTGATTAACAAGGTAGCAAGCAAGTCCTTATAACCGGCACTTTGGCGGTCAGAGCATTGACCAAAATAGCACTTGAAAAATAGCGCTAGTGGCGCCAACAACATATTTGGCGGTCAAAGCATAGACCAAATCGCACTTTAAAAGATAGCGCTAGTGGCACCAACTACACAGTGAGACTTGCTTGCTACCTTGTTAATCACCATTGTATCACCATTGTATTCGACTTGAAGTTTCTTTTCTTTTCTTTTCCACTTATCCCGTTATCGGCCCTCTTAACCCTTTGCATGCTGGCCTATTTTCCACAGTTATCGGGCACTCCAGTGTGCGGACTCTCCTGGTGGAGTTTGGGTGCACTGCTCGGAACCAAATTTATTCTCATTTCAGTTCACCTTGATGGAATTTCATCACCCTGGGCTTGTTGGAAAGATCAGGACCAAGCGAATTCATCCTGGAAGCTCTCAGCTCCACCAGGGCCACTTCCATGACCTCTCCAAACTGGCCCACCATGCCTCGGAACGAAACAATAACAGTTTAGACTGCCGCACCAAGCGAAAAGGTACCAACTGACACAGTGCACGTACTTGCATAAACAGCGCTCAAAGTTACGTCACTCGATTTCTAGAAAGCCGTGGAGTCGCGTCACGGGGGACTGTTTTTTTGTCGATGTGCTTGATCTACACAGGGGGGTTGTGAAATATTCCCAGTCTACGAAAAAAAATCCTTTCCACTGGTCTTTGTTTGATGGAAATCGAACAAACAACAACAAAGTTAGTTAGCTCAAGTTGACTGCTTCGTTCTGAAAATTTGAATTTGATTTTTCGCATATCTTCGCGTTGCGCCAAGATGAGTTCCGAGCGCCAATTCTTCACTGTCGACGAGGCCCTTGACCAAGTTCTGAATGGAATGGTTGAAGAGTTTGTGGCTGAGCCTGCGGAGATCGATAGTTCTGACGACGATGTCGATAATGTCGTTTCAGAGAGCGAGAATGTCACCTCGACATCAGCGCTGGCCACCGATGACAACCTGCCCGAGCAATTCCCTCCTAGTGCTCCGTCGTTGTTGATGCATACTGACACCGGCCCTGGGATAGCTGGTGGTGAGCCAGAACTTCTGACTCTTGAAATTTCGAGCGACGAGGAGGACGTGGAACATTTCTTAGATCGGGAAGTGGATGTCACCTCTGCTGCGTCAAATTTTATTCGTAATGTCGAGTCAGCTGATCGTGCAGCTGATGTTGACACTGAGGCTACCTGTGAAGCCAGCACTGGCACTGCTGCTGCTGGTGTTGCCACTGGCGCTGGTACTGGTGCCGGAGCTGCTCTGGGGGATGCCACCGCTCCTGCTGCTGCACCTTTTTCTTGTGGCTGCAGCAAACACTGCCTGGCAAAATTTCCTGTGGAAGCCGTACAGAAGAGTCGCCTGGCTATGATGGAAATGGAGGACAACGAGCGTGACATGTTTAGAATGGGCATGCTGTTAGCTACTCACTACTGCACACCAGAAACACGCTGCGGAATACGAAAACATGAGTTTTACCAGTATTCGTACGATGGACAGGAGGTGTGCAGTGGGGCATTTCAGTACATCTACAACATCGGAAAAAAGTTGTGGCGCAACCTGAAAAAGCACCTCCAAGAGAATGGTCCTGTTCCTCGTCGCCATGGCAATATCGGCAGACGGCCCGCTAACGCACTCCAGTTCCCGGATGTGAAGAGATGTGTGGAGTTCCTCAAGGCCTATGTAGAGGAGTTTGGTCTACCTCATCCTGCTCCAACTCATGGACGAGCCGGAGTGCCTCCCACTTACCTCCCCGCATCACAGACTTACAAGTCGGTGCACAAAATCTATGCAGATGCGTGCATCTCTGACAACTGGCGAGCAGCAGGCCTACAGTCAATCCGAAACATTTGGAGTGCCTGCCTTCCTCATGTAAAATTTATGAGTGCCCGCACAGATGTCTGCCAACCCTGTGAAGTCCTCCGCCGTAAAGTAGTTTCTGCTGCAACGGAAGCTGACAAAACTGAGGCGCTCGACCGGTTCTCACAGCACATTGCAGGAGCGCAAGCCGAACGCAAGTATTACCGTGATGCCACTGTAGCTGCACACAACGAACTATCTGGTGTTAAAGCTGCACCCGTCCCCCCATGTCAACCCTGCTCCCAACCTCTCCTCGCTTCCCACCACACTTTTGGTTTTGCACAGCAGGTCACTCTCCCTCATCTTGCTCGTCAGCCTGGTCCTCTGTACTTTAAATCGCCAAGGAAGGTGCAGCTGTTCGGCGTGTGCAATGAAGGCATACCTAGACAAGGCAACTTCTTGCTTGATGAAACGCAAACCATCGGAGCAGACGGCACAAAGAGCCATGGTGCGAACACAGTCTTGTCTCTCCTGCATACCTTCTTTGCTAAGTCCGGCTCGGGCGAGGACAGTTGTGTCCTTCATGCAGACAACTGTGCGGGGCAGAACCAGAACCGCACAGTTGTCTCATACTTGGCGTGGCGAGTCATTGTTGGCATACACAAAGAGATCCATTTGGCATTTATGGTTGCCGGGCACACACGTTGCCTTGTGGATGGCTGTTTCGGTTTAGTAAAGAGGAAGTACCGCCGAGCCGACACCTTCACTCTGCCTCAACTCGCCAGTGTTGTCAATGAGTCGGCATCATGCAATGTTGCTCATACTGATGCTGTCACTTGGTACCAGTGGGATTCCTTTCTGGACCAGCACTTCAAGCGAGTTCCTGGGATATCAAGGTACCATCACTTCACCTTCTCATCTGCAAGTCCAGGCACCGTTGAAGTGAAGGAAAGCGTTGAGTCAGTTCTGCAGCAGGTCACCATTCTCAAGAGCGATCCAAGTGCGCTCGACTCTTCATCCCTTCCACCTGTGATTCCTAGTGCTGGCATGTCTGAGGACCGACAGAGGTACCTCCACAAAGAAATTTATCCCTTTGTAGCCGAACCCTATCAGGATGAATTGTGTCCACCCCTGGCGTAACGATCTTTGACAGTCCGCAACCATGTGCGTGTCTGTTGGTGACTTCTCCTGATCAAACCCCTCTACAGATTTTTATTTTGCATCCATGTATTTCTACATAGTCTAAACATACTGCTGTCATGCTGTGGAAACATCTACTGCCCGCTTGTTGTTACATTGGTGACATAGACCGATCTAATGAAATGCATCGATTTCTGGAGCGTAATTTGTGGCTCAATGCTGTTCAAGAAAAAGGCCGTAACTCCGTGATGGTACCGTATTTTTCGGTTCTGTTTTTTTTTTATATGATTTCTATGGATGTTCTGCATGAGTTGGCAGTGCTTCCCCAAATCCGCCAAAAATGTCATTTGGTACCTTTTCCCTTGGTGAGGCTAGACTCTGTCACTGTTACTCACTCACAAATTCTTTTTCGGCTCCTTGCTCAAATTCAACCGATTTTCACGATTCAAACTGCTCTGCAAAGCTGAGATCCACGCGCTTCATCTGATGTCCATAACGCATGCGCAGGGCAAAAGGGAAATCCCTGGCATGCTCCAAAAAAACTGCGAAGCCACGAACAAAAAAATCGCGATCACTCCAGCCCGTGATTTCCGTGTTCATTTTGTCGCCGCTCAGTGAATCTTTGTCCTGTCACGAAGGACTTTATATCCCTGTAAAGCTGAGCTCAATACCTTTCCAACAGTGTATCGTATGTGGAGATTTGATACTCTTTCACAGAGTAACAAAAGTTTGTACACCGGTCTATTCACCACGTACACGACGCAAACCGAAGCGCGTGTATACACGTCCTTAGAGCGCGTGTATACACGTCATCCGCACGCAAAGCGTTTTAAGAGTTGTGTATATCACTGTTGAGGCATCCAATGGTAAATAAAATAAAATACTACCACTAGGAGTAATGGTACGAAAGGCCTAGTCGAAATTATAAGGCTTCTGTGCTTCCTGTGCTGACAGATACAAACCCACACACGCGCACGCACACGCACAGACGCACACACACACACACACACACACACCTTTGACCTTTGACCTTTGACGCCCATCGCCGGAGGCGATGATAGCAATGCTACGGCAGAAGCCATAGCAACTTGTGCTGGGATTACACCATTCAACAGCTTGCAAGGCTGAAGAATTGACCGTCACTATTCAGCCTGGTCTACACCATACAGCTATTTGGAGTGACATTTTCTGGCCAGTGAATCCCTTTTTTGGTCTTTTTCATTTTTTTTTTCTCTTTTTTTCACACACACACACACACACACACACACACACACACGTACATACCCCCTTTATTGAATCTTTTTCTGCTTGCAATGCAGTCTTGAGAGATTCCAACTGATCAGTCAGCACCACGATCTGTAAGCAAAACAACAAAACAATACTAGTTCACTTGGAATACATTACAATCAGAAGATCAGGGAAGAAGAGCAGAATACATGCAGAGAAAATGAACAATTGCCAACTAGAAAGTTGAAACAGTGAGAATTAGCATAAACAGAGCCCTAGCAAATGCCATACATTGAAGTATAAAGGTCACCCTTACATCTCTGAAATACCGGCAAAAATCAATCCAGAAATCAAATCTATAGGCCCGCAGTGTTTTTGAAATATTTCAAATTCGGCTGGAACTTTTTGAGAATAGTTTTCGGAATATTGCTCAGGTCCGCTCCACAAATAGTTACTCTCATTATAGTTTCTAAACGATTGGATAACAGACGCCCAATTCGGAAAAATTTATGCACAAAGTGATCACACAGATTTTATGTGGTATAGATGCTGGCATAACGGTTTTTACCTAGGTACGCGTCTATAGTTTTGACATGAACTGTAGATCTATGTACTGTCTGCATGGGCTTCTACCTTTTCATCCTTAGCAGCCAGGTCCTTCTTTGTCGCAGCTCTCTCCTCTTGGTAGGCTGACGTTTCCGCAGAAAGCTTGTCAAGTCTATGCTCGGCTTCAGCTCGCTGCATGCATGTCACATCAGAGTCAGCAAATGCACGCATTAGGCGTTAGTTTTTGCAAAAGAATACCTCAAAAAGTCTGAATCACGTTGTCAAACGACATCTGCACTAAAACTGCTCATATTGCCGCTGAATGGAAACCGTGGTCTCCACAGGGTTCATGTATACGGTGTGAAGAGATTTCGTAGTTTTCGGTCAAATTGAGTTGCTTGTATGCCAACCAGACAACAGGAGGCTCTCCTACAATCAGTCATATCTCCATAGCATCCCATGATCAAGGTCGGGGGTGACATGGCTCTGTGCTGCTAGTGTCATGAACGCTATCATCACAAGCTCAGCATCACAATTTTCATCAGCCAAATTCAGCATTCAGTATCACCTCCACCACCACACTGCACTCTTAGCCGACTAGACCCTCTCGCACACAACCGTTGAGGTGATACTCAACGTTTTCTTCAACGGCCGAGAGCTCTGTCTCACCCTGTCACAAAACCCAGCATTGATACAACCAAAATACTGGGATGTCAGAAGTCGTCCACCCTCTGGCATACTACTAGAGACAATCAGCTTAGCCGGCCATCACTGCAGGGTAAGGAAATTTAAACCTGAACATGCATGCCTGAAGATGACACTACAGTTGCATCCCTGGTTCAGGCTCACAGAGCCCTAGCAAATGCCATACATTGAAGTATAAAGGTCACCCTTACATCTCTGAAATACCGGCAAAAATCAATCCAGAAATCAAATCTGTATAAAGCTAAACGAATTTTATTTTGGCTTCAAGACGGTGTTGCCGTTTACAAGCCAGTGTGGTTTAGGCAACACAATTATACTGCACACACGCGCACAAAAAAACACACACGCATGCATGCACGCGCGCACACACACACACACACACACACACACACAGCCCCCCCCCCCCCCCCTTTGCAACTTAGCCTTCTTTACCTGAGATGTCTCCAGCTGCAGTTGAGCATGCAGTTCATCAATCTTCACCTTGTCCCTGCTGTCTTCAGCCTGAGGATACCATAGCACAACAGCAAGAACATACAGCAGCTGTAGATTGAAACAAGACCCATTGGGAGATTAACCCTTTAACCGTCATATAAATTTCACCCATTGAAACGCCGAACGAAATTTCAACTTTGCCAGGTCATAACTTTAGTTGTACTCACTCGATTTTTATAATCTTGGGCTCGTTGGAAAGCTCTGGACGAGACCAGCACGATGATACCACATTCTTCGCCTCAGCAGTCACACAACCAGCGCTGGAACGTAGCGACGTCGTCTCAACGCCAGGCATGCAAATGACAAGTTCAAAACTCCGCCATGGCCGTCTCCTTCATCGTAGAGCGTTCAAATTTTTTTTGAGAGATCGAGCATTTCGTGAGGAATACGTTGGTCGCGAGCAACAGTCACAGAGCGCGTGAAGAAACGGGGAAATCCCGTGACGACGTCAGCCGCGCGCCCAGCCCAGCGGAAGTGACAAGCGTGCAGTACTCAGCGCTTGATAACTCTGCTCAACTACATCGTAGCTCAATGCGGATTTCTGCAACAGAAAGCCTGGAAAATTCGCAACCGAATCGATAGTAAATTTTCTGTCGTGGGTAAAAAATCATTCCAGTGCGAGTATTTCAAATGATGGGTCGAATTCGACCCACAAATGTATGGTCTGACGGTTAAAGGGTTAATGGGATTTCGTTGTGCGTCACAAGGAAATTGTTATAATTATGTACATGCAGTGTTTGGTCGATACAATAATGCTTTTCTTAGTAGCTCTATACAATAACTCACCGATGTGCACTCACGCACGCACGCATACACACACGCGCATGCGTGCGCGCACACATACACCTGTCCATGCACACACACACACATACATACACACACGGACACATACGTACACGCGCACCCACACACATCATCTCTCTCTCTCTGACACACTACATACCTTCGGCTGAGGGTACGTTTTGTCATCGATTTGACGCATCAATATTCTCTTCATCGACGCTTCCAAGCGCCGTGGATCAGTAGCGTGGACCAAGTGTCCATTCTCAGAGCTGCCAAAAGCTCTGCTAGCGTGAAGTTCTCTCAATCTGACGAACAGCGTGTGGTTCTGCGTCTTCATGTCCTGCAGCCGTGCCTCGCAGTTGGACTCTGTCAACTTGAGCTGCTCTTTAAGGCACTCGATCTCGCTCTCTTGCTGTCGTGTGGCGACGCAAGTCACAAGCAGAAAAGTGCATGTACAGTCAGCAGCAGGTCAGCAGTCAGTGAATAACCACCTCGGCTAGAACTTACAAATGTGTACAGAGAGCACTGGTGTTTCTTAGGCAATGTGAAATTGCCATGTACATAGCTGTCAACCTTTTGTGAACCTGAGATGGGGACAATGACATACAGTCGTCCCTCTTCAATCCAGCACTTTTAAAAAGTCTTTATAAACCAGCACCCTCGAAAAACCAGAATAATTTTCAGTAGCCAAAATGTCTGCACACTACAGTAAATCCGATTTGCTAATCCAGTACCCTTACCTCCCTAATCCGTGGCACACATGGTGCCGGATTATAGAGGGGCCACTGTACCTAGGTATGGACATGATTGTATACATATCTAGCTGAGGCATGCGACACATGCACTTTGGGGTGCCTACAGTCCATTTCAAAACTATAGACGCGCAGTTTTTTGAAATATTTCAAATTTGGCTGGAACTTTTTGAGAATAGTTTTCGGAATATTGCTCAGGTCCGCTCCACAATTACTCTCATATATTTTCTTAACGATTGGATAACAGACGGCCAATTTGGAAAAAAATATCCACAAAGTGATCACAGATTTTATGTGGTATAGATGCTGGCATAACGGTTTTTGCCTAGGTACGCGTCTATAGTTTTGAAATGGACTGTAGTACCACCCTGCCATATCGGGACGGTCCCATCCAAATTGGGACGGCAGTTATGCATTGATGTTTCTTTGGCAACGTGAAATCGCCATGTAGCACACAATTCACACTACTTTACTCTTTAACTTAACAAGAGAGATGACATAAAATGGCTGAGATCTTACCATGCGGTTGTTGGCCTTTTCAACAGTCAGTTCCCTGCCTAGGTCTGCCAGACGTCGCTCGTGATCACGCTTTATAAACTCCACCTGCTGGTAGATCTGAAGCACGTAATGAAAACAAAACAATCGGTAATACGTCTCCTGATTATTGTCAAGACTGTGTGGTTGTGAACATGGGAGGAACCCTGGCACGTAGCTAATGTATAGGCAGTGTTGTCCAGTCACCACACCAGCAAAGGTCCACCATACTCGTGCTATTTCGAAGTACATAGTCAAAATACAGTAAAACCTGGGACTAACGACCACCCTTTGGGGCCAGAGCATGCGGTCTTTAGTGGCAGGTGGTCCTTAGTTAAAGGTTTGCACCGCACAACCATAAAAATGAATGTGAGACCGTAGGCGCCTGGCAAAGTGGTCTGTAGTACCAGGCTGGTTGCTAGTCACGGTGGTCTTTAGTTACAGGTTTTACTGTATTTGAAAATAGGCAAAATGGCAGTTGTTGGGTTGCCGGTGTTAGCTGCTCTGACACCACAGATGCATGAGCCGAAACGCCCCCTGGAACCTCCATACACACATGCTGAAAGTATGCAGAAAAGCAGGCCTAGAAGAACGGTGTGCAGTCTGCGGAGGAGGTGCACCAAAGGGAAGGGTGAATGGGACAGGTACCCATATATGCAATGGGAGAGATGCACACGCACATGCATTACCGCACACGTGCACAAACACACACACACACACACACAATCTCTCTCTCTCTCTCTCTCTCTCCCACACGCACACAAAGCCACAAACCTGGTGGGCATCGCTGAGGCGTTCGCTTCTCTCCACACTGTCGCGAAGCTTGCCGAGCAGCGAGGCTACATCGGACTGCACTGCAAAGAACCTGTCACTTAGCTTGCTATTCTCAGTCGACAAGCGACCAATCTCATCGTCTTTCTCCTGCATGTCACTGAGCAGGGCCCGAACTTTGGCTTCAGCCTTTCCAAACTCCTCCGATAACTTCCTGCGGTCGCCCTTGTTGTGTAGCTCGTTAAACAAGGCAACAAAGTCTTGCAAAACCTGGAGAGGGTAGTAAGTAGTGGACAACAAGCTCATTGCGCATTGCCAAATATGGAAGGTATGAGTAATGCATGTGAGTACACTGGGATCAGCATTGCACTGTTCAACACCCCAGACGACCATGCCCAGGTGGCTGTGTGGGGTGTTATGTGAGTACACTGGGATCAGCAATGCACTGTTCAACACCCCCAGACGACCATGCCAAGGTGGCTGTGTGGAGTGTTATGTGAGTACACTGGGATCAGCAATGCACAGATCAACACCCCGGACGACCATGCCCAGGTGGCTGTGTGGGGTGTATATTGTACAAATTACGTCATTGCGCAATGGGCTTCTAGTAAGCACAAGGCTCGCTAATCCTGGCACCAGTATATGTGTGGAGCTAGGCGCGCTGCGACATGCAAACAACAACTTATGTTACCGTCGCTCGTATATTAAAACAAAAAAAGTGTTAGACGCAGGGCCGGTACCATTATCCCGGTTTCCGAAAATCAATTCTGTTCTAGCCCTATTATCTCTGGATGCACGTAATAGGCTGCAACATGCCAAACGTCTGCTGAAAATCACTATAATCCTACTGAAATAGATTCTTTGCAAGAACGTCTAACTATTCGCATAAGGGGTGAAGCGAGTACCACTATTGCTCGAGTACTGGAGAAGAAACCGAGCGAGTACGAGCGACCTCAAGTATTCCCTTCGCAATAATGCTATGGATTTGTGTTGAGTCGTTGTGTACAGTTGAGGCAGTTCCGCATGCAGCACCTACACTTGTACTTGAGGTGAGTGTGTACAAGCGGCCCTTTCAATTACCCGAGCTATGCCGCCAACACATTAACATCGAGCAGGCAGTGGACAAAATAATGT